TGGACAGTCTCATAAAACAAAACAGGACTAATGAGGCACAGCAGTCCAGGGACAAGGACTAGAAGGTAGGAGGGGACAGGAAAGCTGCTAATAGGGAACCCAAGGTTGAGAAGGGACAGGGTTGACATCTCATGGGGTTCTTAACCATTGTCATACAGCAATATGTGTACTGAACTGTTTAATGAGAAACTATTCTGCAAACCTTCATCTAAGGTACAAAAAAAAAAAAAATTATCTATTCGAGATCAAATTGACAACAGCAACTCAAAAGGTTTGATGGGAAGCCTAGGGGACAGTGAGTTGAAGATAATGGTGATGGGATAATTTGCAAAAGGATAGTGAGAATAGCAGCACAACTGGAAGAATATAATCAATGTCACTGAATTGTACATGTAGAAGCTTTCAAAATGGTATAACTTTGGCTATGTATATTTTCACCAAAAAAAAGGTCCTCAAGGTCGAGAAGGGAGAGTGTTGACATGTCATGGGGTTGTTAACCGATGTCATAAAACAATATGTGTACTGTTTAATGAGAAACTATTTGTTCCGTAAACCTTCATCTAAAGTACAATAAAAAAATTTTTAAAAAAAGACTTCACCAAAAGAATAAAAAGACAATCTACAGACTGGGGAAAAAAAACTGGCTATAATATATCTGATCAGGGCCTAATCTCTAAAATCTACAAGACAAATAACCCAATTAAAAAATGCACAAAGGATTATGAACAGGCACTTTGCCAAAGACATTCAGGTGGCTAACAGACACATGAGAAAATGCTCACAATCATTAGTCAGTAGGGAAATGCAAATCAAAACCAAAATGCGGTACCATCTCACCCCAATAAGGCTAGCATTAATCCAAAAAACACAAAACAATAAATGTTGGAGAGGTTGTGGAGAGACTAGAACACTTATACACTGTTGGCGGGAATGTAAAATGGTACAACCACTTTGGAAATCAATTTTGTGCTTCCTTTAAAACCTAGAAATAGAAGTACCATACGATCCAGCAATCCCATTCCCTGAAACACATCCTAGAGAAATAAGAGCCGTCACACGAATAGATATATGTACACCCATGTTCACTGCAGCCCTGTTCATGATAGCAAAAAGATGGAAACAACCTAGGTGGCCATCAATGGACGAATGGATAAAGAAAATATGGTATATTTACACAATGGAATACTACGCAACAGTAAAGAACAATGAATCCGTGAAACATAAAATGGAGGAATCTGGAAGACATTATGCTGAGTGAATTTAGTCACAGAAGGTCAAATACCGTATAAGACCACTATTGTAAGAACTCAAGAAAAGGTTTAAACACAGAAGAAAACATTCTTTGATGGTTACTAGGGTGGGGAGCAGGGAGATGGTTATTCGCTAACTAGACAGTAGACAAGAATTATCTTAGATGAAGGGAAGGACAGTACACACTACGGGGGAAGTCAGCACAACTGGACTAAACCAAAGCTAAGAAGTTTCCTGAATACAACCAAACATTTCAAGGGACAGAGTAGCGGGAGCAGGGGTCTGGGGACCATGCTTTCAGGGAACATCTAGGTCAACTGGCATAACGAAGCTTATTAAGAAAATGTTCTGCATCCTACTTTGTTGAGTGGCGTCTGGGGTCTTAAAAGCTTGCAAGCGGCCATCTAAGATGCATCAACTGGTCCCAACCACCTGGAGTAAAGGAGAATGAAGAACACCAAAGACACAAGGAAAGTTATTAGACCAAGAGACAGAAAGGGCCACATAAACAGGAGACTTCATCAGCCTGAGACCAGAAGAACTAGATGGTGCTCGGCTACCACCAATGACTGCCCTGACAGGGAATACAACAGAGACTCCCTGATGGAGCAGAAGAAAGGTGAGGTGCAGAACTCAAATTCTAGTAAGAAGACCAGACTTGATGGTCTGAGTGAGACTGGAGGAACCCTGGAAAGCAAGGCCCCCAGATTCTCTATCAGCCCAGAACTAAATTTCCGAGGCCAACTCTTCAGACAGGGATTGGACTGGACTGTGGGACATAAAGTGATAGTCGTGAGGAGTGTGCCTCTTAGCTCAAGTAGATACAAGAGACCAAACGGGCAGCTTCTGTCTGGAGATGAGATGGAAGGCAGAGAGGGTTAGGAGTTGGTTGAATGGACCTGGGGAATCGGGGGTGGAAGGGAGGAGTGTGCTGTCACAGTATGGGGAGAGCAATTAGAGTCATAACAATGTATGTATAAATTTTTGTATGGGAGACTAACTTGAAATGTAAACTTCATTTAAACTACAATAAAGAAAAAATGAGGAAAAAAAAGGTGGCCCTAATGAATGAATGTACCTAAGCACTAAGCATCAACCTCTGCCAAGATCACAAAAAGACAGCCAACCATTATGTATACTTCCTGATGGAGGGAGAGAGAGAAATAAAATCTGATCAAGCTCCTGGATCTAACCAAGACACAGGGAAAACAAACAAACAAACGTGTTAAACTACACCACAGGGAAGCACTCACTAAACCCAAGACTCGGGGAACCTTTATAGAACCAACAACCTAAATTTCATCAAGGAAAAAAAAAGAGGAGTTCCAATCAAAGCGTGTTATTTGGATCCTAATTCAATCAAACTGCTCAAAATTAACTGAGAAAATTGGAAATTTGAGCACTGACTGGATATTCGATAATACCAAACCAAAACCAAACCCACTGCCATGGAATCTATTCAGACTTATAGTGACCCCACAGGACAGAGTAGAACTGCCCCATAGGGTTTCCAAGGAGCAGCTGGTGGATTCAAACTGCCAAACTTTTGATTACCAGCCAGCTCTTAACCACAGCGCCACCAGGGGTCCCCTTGATACTACAAAGGAATTGTTAAGTTTTGCTAGACTCGATAATTATATTGTCTTTAAAAGTCTTTATCTTTTAGATATATTCTGAAGTACTCATGGGATTAAATATGATTCTGGGATTTGCTTCAACATAATTTGGGACGAGTGAGGAGTGGAAAGAAGTAGAGGTAAAATAAGACTAGCCATGAGCTGATAACTGTTTGAAGATGAGTAAGAGGTTTGTGTGGGTTCACAATACCATATTATTTTTGTATACACTTGAAAGTGCCCGTAACAAAAAGTTAAAGCAAGGGTATTCATGATTACATAATATGATCATATTTACAACATAAAGGATAAACTATTAAGATGGTAGGAACTGTTAGACTAGTCTAGAGAATTCAGGCAGGAGGAGGAGCTCCCTGAGCTAAGACAGTGGTAGCAGAGAAAAGCACAGATTAAATCAAGGTTATTTTCTTAGGTCAGTGGTCAGGTTTCATGGACATTCGATGCAAAATTTTTTACCCACTCTTTTTTTTAAAGAAAACTAGAAAAGGTTCCATAGTGTTCATCATGTATGCAAAGAGGATTGTGATCCAACAAAAAAATTAAAAATCACTGAATTAGAACATATTTTAGGATACTGAGGCTAGCACATAGCCTCATGGGTTACTGGAGTCCAGCTCTTTCCTGTTTTGGAGCTTCTGCTAATGCTGTTCCTTCCAACTGTAATGTACTTTGTATGGCTAGGTATTATCCATACTTCAGATCTAAAACTATACTTATCCCCTAGAAATTTTATGAGAATTTAATGAGTTAAGACACATACTGAGGCACTTAAAATAATGCTTGGCATACAGAAAGTACTCAATAAATATTAACCATTATCTGAAAGCTTTATACAGGTTTTTGTGTATATTCCCATCACCATTTATTCTCAGCATCCTGTTAGATTTGTCACTCACAGCATTCTATTATTTCTAGAGTATAAGCTCCATGAGGACAAGGTCTTTGTTCATATATCATTATATATCCAGCACCTGGCACAAAGGAGACTCAAATACGTTCACTGAGTAAATAATTATGCTACAATCAATAAAACTCAGAAGCTGAACATATACAGATGGAAGATCCACTAAACTCTCTAGCATTTAGTGATGGGAAGCATGGTTATAAGATTAAATGAAGACAAGGAATACAGGAGAATTAAAAGTTAAGTTTGTTTTTGTGGAGGAAAGAGGCCGGCACTGGAAATGAAGTAAATAATGGATGCACTGAATTTGAGGTAGAAAAGTTAAACAGGAAGTTAGAAATATGTCCGAGACACCCAGAAGCCAAAATGTAAGAACATGGTCTCTAGAGGCAGCCTGCCTAGGTTTAAATCCCAGCTCTGCTGCCTCCTACTTGCTTGATCTTGGAGAGATTACTTAACCTTTGGGCCTCAATATTCTCGTGTTCAAAAAAAAAAACTGTGCCAAAAGCACTGGAATAACAATAAATGGTAGATATTACTAAAATTAGGGCATTTGTTGTTCAGTGGTAGAATTCTCACCTTCCATGTGGAAGACCTAGGTTTGATTCCTAGCCAATGCGCATCACATGCAGCCATCACCCAGATGTCTGTCAGTGGAAGCTTGTATGCTGCTATGATGTTGAACCAGGGCTTTAATCCAGTTCTTTCCAGTTCAATCACGGCCAAGGAAATGAGACCAGAATAGCCCTAAATTATTAAAAATTGGGTGAACCGGAACAGTAACAGGAGTGAGAAAAATTACAGGTCAAAGCCCTGCCAGAAACCTAATCTCCCCTTAGAAAACAAGGGCAGCGTATGTGTTTCATGGCAACCAAATCTCTGGTCGGTCAGATTTTAGCACAGTAGGGAACAGCCTTGGCCGGCTCAAAGATGGCAGCGAGTGTGCAGCTTTGTATTTGTGTCACTCTCTACAGTCCTGCCTGGTAATCCAATCTCACACATCAGGCTCCTGAAAGGGCTCACTACACCTCTTCCAAGTCTCTCATTTCCCCATTGGGATTACCGCTCCAGAGCATCCAAACTGTGAAAATTCCAGTCTCTTCCAGTTTCACTTTGTCAGCCATGACAGAGCTGATTCAAAGCCCTGGGCTGAACAGGTTTCAGCAGAGCTTCCAGACTAAGACAGACTAAGAAGAAAGACCTGGTGATCTGCTTCCAAACATTGACCATTGAAAACCCTGTGGATCACAACAGTCTGACCCCATTGTATGCAGGGTCCCCATGAGTTGGGGGTCAACCTGATGGCAGCTAACACATTATTAAGACAGTAAATAGTGGCTGAAAATCTGATTTTGAGTAAAATAGACAATGAAAACATAAAAAAAAAGAACCAGAACCCCATTAGGAACAAAGGAGAGGAAAAATACAAAGGAAAGTGTTAAGGGGACCATGGGGAACACAGGAGGAATAACAGAATGAAAGCCAAACAAAAAAAAGGGGTTCCAAGGAAGAAATAAGCAATAGCAGAAAGTACTGGTTAATTAAGTGCATATAGTCTGTAAAGAGGCCCAGGATTTCACAATTTAAGTCAATCATAAAAAAGGCAGTGTTCTATAAAGTGTTCAGAAGGGAGTAAGGACAAGGGAGCAAAATGGCTGACTAGAGTGGGATTATGGGGGGAATGGAGGAAGAAAAAGAATTTTATAGCAGTGGTCCCTAGACTTTTGTTTTCAAGAACATCAAAAAGAAACAGGGAGACTGACATTTTAAGGTGGTAGACATTTAATTCTATCAAATTTTTTTTTAAGTTTATACTCTATTACGTATCACATCATTTGAAACAGGAAACTATGTAAGAACAAAAATGTATGAAAGCTAAAAATCTTGGAATAAATGGAGAGCCTTTATGAAAAACTTAACTATTCTGTTCTTATTTCTCATGATTTCGTTGTAGATTCATCAAAATCTTGTCATAAAAAAGGCACCGGGATTTGCAAATCACTGTTCTCAACTACCCTCTGAAAACTCTTGACAATAAAAGGGAAGAGTTTGGGGGAAACAGAGTTAAAGTTTCCCTCTCTCTCTTAAAAATGGAGATAAGCAAAATATCTCCTATTAACGTACGGATCTTTAGGCAGCAACAACTGTCATGTTATGACCAACTGTACACCAGAGTGTGCAGACACAAGCACTAATTAAACATTTTACATTTGCTTGAGAATCAGTAGTTTTAGAATATAAACTCCTGGACTACATTTTCCATATACTATCTATGTTATATTTTTATAGTTGGCAAACAAGCACTTTGTGTATACCAAAAGTGCATTCATTACATACCAACTATACGGAAAAATACAAGGATATACTTGTCATATGCATAAACTAGGCCTGGCACTTTATGGAGCCTCAATAAAACTTTGTCGAAATGTATTGAAGTGACACGTACCACATAATGCTACACACACAATTATAAGTCAGATTTCATTTCTATAAAAAAATGCTAAAAAGATAGTATGGCACAGTGGTTACAAGAGTGGTAATAAGACCACAGGCTTTGGACTCAGACCTGGGTTCAAATCTCAGCTGCAATACTTCATAGCTGAGCGACCTTTGGAAAGTTATTTAACTTGTCTGAGTTTGTCTCAGGTATTAAATAGAGACAACACCTACCTCATAAGGTTGTAATGCGATTAAATGGCAGTTATAATTTTTATATAATATGAATTGCTAAAATTCCAGAAATAGTCCATTTTTTAAAGCCCTAGACCAAATTATCCAAATCTCCGAAGGATGAGGCAAAGGCCTATATAAATTTTTCAAGTTCTACAAGTAATTCTGATTCCTGCTTAGGAACCACTGTCCTAGAGCCTTACTAACAACGCTTTACCTGAGACCAAGGTAAGAGATGAAAGAGCTTTAAGACATGATCCTTTGGTTTAGTTTCAAGTTTCTAAGGCAGACCTTTACCCCAAATTCCTCTTACAGAGAACAGAATCATACTGCAAAGTTCTAATTTGATATCTTTTCCAATGCCAGGGAAAATATGATTCCATGTTAAAATTTTACATAAAAATTAGGTATACCCTGACCTCTTCATGTTCATAATAGTTACAAAAATCGTACTTTAAAAATATGTGTAGATGAACAGTGCCCCCAGAGCTCGATACAATACTGAAATGTAATCTGTCTTATTTCTATGTTGTCTTTCTTGAAAATGAGTTTGTTTACAATTAAAATCCATTGATGCTTCACTTAAACCCTCTCATAATTTTTCATCCAACACATACTTTTTTAAATATGGATCTCACAAACAATCTTAAGGCATCTAAAGCAAATTCAATATACTAGAAGCACACTTGAAATTCTATTAAGTAATCCAGTAAAACATTTAAGAGAAATATATAGCACAAAAACAGACAAACACAATCATTAACATTTTATTCCAAAAGAATTTGTGAAATAATGAAAATCCCTGGAAAAAATTAAGTCTAGAAATACTGTAAAACATGTTCAAAACAAATAAAAAAAGCTTAGGATGGCTATATCCGAAGTAAAGTGCTAACAGTAGGTCAACTGAAAGAAATCCAGGAAGAATGCAAGCAACAGAAATCTTCCTTAAAGGATTTTTTTCTGTTGTTGCTGTTAAGGAGAGAAATGCAAGGGCTAGGACAGACAATATAGGTTTCACTAATTTATGGGTTTTATTAATTTAAACACACAAGTAAGAATATTTTCCCAACTACTTACATTAGTGAAGCTTATGAGTGACTAATGCAACTGCTAACTTGTAAAGTGTTAAAATCCAAACTTGCATATAACAGTACAGAAGTTATAAACACTACATCAGGGACAGGTCAAGTGTTATTCAGTGAGGAGAAGCCTCAATGCATTTGTAAATACAGTTTAAAACATTTTAATAAAGCTTTATTAATCTCACTCTACCCACACAGAAAATTAATTTCAAGCATGGTGTAATAGGAAGTTTTATACTGAGCGCTCTATAAATCCCAAGTATTTTTAAGCTGACTATACACAATTAAAAAGAAACAATAATTGTTACTTAAGCTTTCTGAAAGTTAAAAGCCCAGTAGTTTACCAAAACACAATTCTAAAACACTGAATTGACTAACAGATGCTAGTCTATAATTAATTTTGACGAAGTGTCAAAATATATCAGGATTCTTTTTAAAAATTTAACTTTACTCATTTTGTGGAGTTCAAATGCAAGTTTACAAGTTCAAAGTTTAAACAGAAGAAATTCATATCTGAGACCACTCTTTCAAAGTTAATCCAATCTTCCATCTTTCAACACATTTTCCTAACTCTTCACCATAAGCATATATGACATACATGACAGCAAACACTACTGCTTTACATCCTAAACATATACTAGTCTGAAGACAAGTGGAACACTACGTAGGTGCATGCTTTTTTATTCTAAACCTACTTTTGCCTGAAAAGGGATTTAAAAATAAACACAAATACCCAAAAAAGTTGAACAATCCTTTCAAAAAGATGCAGCAATTCTATAATCCAAGATATGGGCCCTTAAACTACCAACACCTCCCAAAAGTTAGGTTAAGGCATCCAAGCGCACCCAAAGGCTCACCTTAATAGGAACGAGTCTAGCTCAGTTATGAGGATGATGGGTTCTGAGCACATTTAACTTTGCTTCCCTTAGGTGAGTTAGTAACATGAGAAAAGCACGTTTTACTTCAAGCTAATACTAAATCTTTTCTCAGCCTTTCATAAATACAGCACAGATAGTCTGGTTTGGCTTTTTTATGGGTAAAGAAGGGGAGGTGTCTGGTGAAGGAAATGCTAAAAAGAAAAATGCAGTTCTGAGAACAGTAAGCGTTGATGAATCACTAAGTAAGGAAGAACTGCAAAGAATCCAATTCAATAAGGCAACATCCCAGGTAAGAAGGCACTAAAGTTGACAAGTAGGAAATGAAAACTTCATAGGTAAACCTCAAGCCATTGTGTTTGGTAGCAGCCCAGGAAAGAAGCGTGGCTGTCAAGGGCCAAGTGCATACCTAGTCGGGGAGGGGGTCAGACAAGCCAAATCGGAAAGGGGGAGGGTGTCCGGGAAAAGGTGGTAATATGCCCATCCCAGTCCCCTTCCTCGGGTTCTCCACCCCAAGAGGAAAAAACGAGAGCAACCGCAGTGCCCAGCAGCCCCACAACGGGCTCTCCACAGAGATGATCTCGGCCGCAAGCTCCGGAGGCCCGGGAAGGCCGCCTCCGGAGGAGCCCCCACAGACGCCATACTAAAAGCCAAAATGGCTGCCCAGAGGAAGCCCGCACCGCGCAGCTAGTGAGTGTTGGGGAGCAAGCTTCTACGGGAAAAGGGGAGGGAGACTCAGGAAAAGCCGTCGCCAGAACCGTCGCCCCCGAGCCGCACAGGTAGGTTCCTCTCGGTTTCCCGAGGCCGCGGGCTCCGGCTGAGAGTCCCGGCCCCACCCCCCCGGCCGAGGTCCCCACCGCCGCAGCCACCCCGCACACCGTCCCCAACGAGGTACCTGCAGTTCGGCCCGCTCCACCTCCCAGTGCGCCCGCTCCATCTCGAATCGTGCCCACTCGTGCTGGATGTAGTGCAGTATCCCCGGGATAGTGTACTGCTGCGGCCGGGACAGCTCAGGGCCTGCCGCGGGGCCCGCTCCCTCGGCAGCCGGAGGACCCCCGCCGCCCGCCGCTCCATTCCCCCCTGGAGAAAGGTTCATGTTCCCCCCAGGCCCCTGCTGCTGCCGGGGAGGTGCCGCCATCCCCGGACTGCCACCACCGCCTCCAGCGAGCTCGTCCATTGTGTGGGGCCCCGACCGGGGCGCAGGGCGAAACGCCGACAGCTGGGGGAAGGGCCGGGGAGGGTAGCCCCGCGCTGGTGGCGGGGCGGAAGCCGGCCAGGAGAGGGGCAGGGAGGGGGTCGTTGCAGTGTGCTTGCCGTGGGTCAGAGCAAGGAGCTGCCGGCCGCCGCCATTACAGTCCCACCTCCATCTGCCCGTCTCAGTCACTCACTTTAGGGGACGGGGGGGCCGTGGCGGGAGCGGGGAGAGAGGGCAGGGTTGAGAACGGGATAGACGTAGGGACGTCACTCCCGCGTTGCATGCCGGATAGAGAACGACGCTGCCGCCGCACTCGGGATAGCCAAATAGAGTCTAGCTTCACTCTACGCAGGCGTACTGGGAGCTCATTGAGGGTTACCGTTAGGGGGCGGGGAAGGAGCTCGGGATCCGCCCCCCAGACCCGCCCCCGAGCCCTGTCCCGGTATCGGGTCCCGACGCTGGGGCTAGGACTTCGGCTTTTGAGAGGCAGTCAGCCCGGGTCTTTGAGATTATCAGTTTCACTCGAGCAGGCAGCCTCCCGGCGTCGTTCCCCAGCCAAGGGTCTCGGCCGCGTGGCCAACTTTGGAGCTGTGTTTTAACCAGGCTAATCGCGGTGGCCGACCGCAGCCCGTCCCGGATTCCTGACGTTTCTTTTGCATTCCTTGCGTGTTTCTGGCAGTCCCAGAGGATCGAGCCTTTTTCTCTGCTTGTCACTCGCTCTTTCTCTGGTTTCTTAGCACCAGTCAGTTCCCGGAGCTTTGGGGACGTACTCTTTTGGCAAATAGCCCAGGTCCTTACGGACGCGATGACTGAATTCCCCGTCTTCCCCTCGAGCCTGGGCTTTTTTGTCCCATTTCTGTGCGCCCGGTCCCCCGTCACAATTTGTTTCACTTTGCCTTCCCCCTTTTTTCCTATTCTTTCGTGAAAGTGGTATTTTGGGAGTTTGGGAGGAGAGTGGGAACGACCGTTTTCATTTTTTTATTTTTCTTAAGAAGGGGAGACCTTGAAATCCTTTAGATCTTGACGATGGTGGGTGGTGGGAGGAAGATAACTTTGAAGGAGACTGGTTAGTCTTAACAATTTGACGTTTTTGAAGTAAATAAGTTTCTTCTCACACATATTGCTATTTCTTTTCTTCTTCTCCCCACCCTCAAAAACAAAACCAAAAGTCTCTGCTCCTCTTCTGTTTCTCAGCTTCGTATGTGGCAGTACATCCAAGCCTGAAGCCTAAAAGTCATTTCAGTGCCTTTCTTTCACTCAGCCCCCACATCCAATCCCTTTCTTGGTAATATCTTTCATATCTACTCCATTGTCTCCATTCACACCTTAATTTAAATTTCCCACTTGCACACTTCCTCCACTAACTGCCACTGCTACTGCCTGAGTGATCTTCCTAAAAGACAAATCCAATCCTGTCATTCCCTGCATAAAATATTTTAGCAACCACCAAAACTTTTAGGATAAATCCGGAAATTTTATCTTAGCACATATAGGTCCTTCAGATTCTAAATCCTCCCTAGATCCTAATCTACCATCATCCCGTCACCCCACTCCACCGTACTCTTCTCTCCAGCCAAACTACACTGTTTTTGGTTCCTCACAGGTACAATTCTGCTTCATTTCACAGTGATTTAACACATGATGTGCCCCATTGCCTTTCCTTCCCTTCTTGGAAAACTCAGCTCAAGCAGTACTTCCTCCAAGAAGCCTTCCAGATCCCTGAGTTATTTAGAGACTCTATCCTAGTAGCATCCCATGGTTGCCTCTTATCTTAATATTTATTACACTTTATTTAAATTATCAGAGTCCTTGGGTGGTGCAAACGGTTAACGTTAAGGTGCTCAGCTGCTAACTGAAAGGTTGGTGGTTTGAGTCCACTCAGAGGCACCTCAGAAGAAAGGCCTGGTGATCATCTTCGGAAAAATCAGCCGTTGAAAGCCCTCTGGAGCTCAGTTCTCCACTCAGAGGCAACTGTTTTTTTTATTTAAATCATCTATGTACTTGTCAGTAACACATTCTAAACTGTTTGAAAGCAAGACCTAGCGTGTAATGGGTGCTCCATAAATCTTTGCTTCACTCATTTCTTTATTAAAAAAATATTTGATTGACCACACTTTTCAGATACTCTCTTAGATCCTGATGATCCACCGTGAACCAAACAGACTTAATCTTACAGAGTTTACAGTCTAGTTTTAAGCAAGTAACTTTAACCATGGTTTTATAAATGTCAATAATACAATCCTTGGCTGTTATTCCCAGACCATAGAGTCCTTAGTGATTGATCTGCAAGATTGCAGAATCCTTGGGGGCGGGGCCTGTGCCCCTCTTGTTCACAACACCCAGTGCCTGGTACAGTGTATGACCTCAATAAATGTTTGATGAATAAGTTAAATTTAGACTAGACTAATATGAACATTTTTCCTTCACCTTGTTCATTTTTATTAGTTTTTGCTACAGTTACACCAGCTGTGCCTTATGGTTCAATGACCAGAACCAAAAGTAAAGGACACCAAGGTTTTCTCCTCTGGAGAAAATTTTGTAGAGTATTGATGTTATACTTTGTGTCCACAATAGCTGAAAACACTCTGCAGTGAGCTCCTACAATCTTGTCCTTGTGGGTAATGAGCACTCCCAGGTCACATTGTCACCTGCAACTCCCCTAACTGGAACTCCCTCCCTAAACTGTGTCTGAGTCATTTCCTCTTTTCAGTCTCACCATTGAAACTTTGTTCTGTCCTTTCATCAGTCCTTATTCATCCCTCCTCTACTCCTAAGACTCTCCCAGTTTCGACCTAAGGCTAATGATCTTCAAGAATGCCTACTCACATCTTTATAATCAGGTTAGACTTTTACAGTTTTTTTTTTCCTTAGACACTTGTCTACTTATTCTATCTTTGACCAAAAAACAGACTTGTCATATTTCACATACATATATTAGCAAAGGTATGTTAAGGAATTTCCAGGCTTTTAAATAAGAAGTAGTTAACATTCAGATGCTTTCTTACTAATTATTCCAGTACCTGATGTGAAGAGTTTTGAGCCTGCCTTTGAAAACTACTGAGCTCCCTGTAATTACTCACCTATATACCCAGTTTTTATACCTTGCTGACTGCGTACCTGGCATCCTTCTACCCAAGAATTTAAACTGGTTTACAAACATTAATCTATTCATCTTTTTGCATAATCTGCAGAGGTTGTGATAAGTATTCTTATCTCCTTGGGGTGAAGGAAAAGCTAAGAGTTGTCAATCACTTCAGCAAGCCCTTGATAGAATAGGAAGTGGTTCCCACTCATATCAGTGAGTATATATGTATATTTGGAAACAAGAAATAGTCTCCCTTCACTATTCTGCCTCCTACTGTCCCATCGATGGGCTTGTTATTACTGTCTCTGATTCCCAAATCATTTGTACATTTGAAATCATTTTTTAGGTAGTTTCAGGATGTTATAGTGTTTATGAATATAATTAAAGAGCAAACAAATAGTAGAAGCCAGAGGAAGATCTCTGAGAAGAGTAGGCAAGGTAGTAAAGTGTGTAATGCAGATGGAACAGAAAAGGAGGAGGCATCTTGGACTTGGCACCATGGTTTGTTTCCTCTGCCAGACAAGATCAGATATCTACTTCTCATTAAAGTAATTGCCTGTGGCTAAGAAAATTGTAGAAATACGTGCAAGGAACTTGCACCATTTCAAATAATGTATTATGTGGAAAAGAAAAGGAAGAGGACCTTCACCGATTATAGAAAAACAGGCACCAAAGCATTTAGGAAACTCAGCATGCTATATAAAATTCTAGTCCAAGTTCATTCCCGAATTGTCTCCTGGGTAATGTGAGTCAGAAAAAAGTAGGCTGTGATAATATTATATAATAGCCAACTCATAGAGATGTCAAAATTGAAAGGAAAAAAAAAAAAAAAGATTTCCTGGAGCCAAGTCCCTCCTGGACATCGGCTAAAAGTGAACAACCAGGTCTGTAAACATGAGAACAAAATGACTGGAGAATGTGACTGAATGGGAAATTGCCAAAACTTTCCTGGGTAATAATTTAACAAGCTTGGAAACATGATTTGTCTCCTATTGGAGTAGCAGAAGACATCTTCATGGGAAACCTATACTAGAGACACTTCTCTTTGAAGAATGTTTTAACTTCGGCAAAAATTCACAAAAACATATTTTGCTAACATAGTTTTAAATGATGGTTATCTGTGGTTTTGTCTTTCTATTATTAGACTAACCTAAAGCAAATGTACTAGGCTCTTGCCATGTATTTCCTGCCCCAGACTTGGATTCAGCTATTTCTCAAAGGGGGAATCCTAAACCCTTTTAGGAGGATGATGTTTAAAGACCATAATGTATTTAAAGACATCTTCCTAATTCCTTGTTACAGCTTCACAGTCTTCCATTGAATGGATATAGTTGTTTCCAGTTGTTTTGTATCAATAGTGCTACAACTAATAGTCTTACGCATATGTCACTTTTTATTTTTGCTGGTAGCAAAAATAAATTGGGATAGATTTTTAGAAATAGGATTGTGTGGTCAAAGTGTATATTCATATGTTTGAATTCCAACTAGTATTGTACAAGAGCTCCTGTTTTCCCATAGACTTTCTAACTGAGCGTGTAGTCAAACTTGTGGAATAAAACCTGGTATATCAATATATTTTTAATTCTTATTTTTTGTGTTTTGAGCAAGGATGAACAACGGTTTAAATGTTTAAGGGCCATTTGCATTTCTTCTAATGCAAACTGTATGTTCATATCTCTTGCCTATTTTTTTTAATAAAACTGTTGGTCTTTTCTCAATTTTTAGAATTTCTGACTGACCCCAACCATCTCTCCTCAGTACAGGGTCTGTCCTTCCACACAGGAATTTCCACTGAGTGTTTCTGAGCACCTCGAGGGTCATGAATACCCCAGCACCCTGGGACCTTCCCCTGCACTCATTGGCAAAAGGGACCCTGCCAGATCTCCTCCCAGATCCCACTGTGGTTCTTAGA